TGCGGGACTGGGAGATGGCTAAGCCGTTCGTACAGGGCGGGCAAGTAGTTGGACTCGACCCGTAACGAAAGTTTTCGATAAACAATTTTTCGCACGGAAGTGCAATTTGAAGTGAATGCTATCGGTTCCATGTCCTGAAAATGCGGAAATTATACAGAGAAAGTTTCTAATACATTTGTTACCGCCAATCAATCGCTTTGTCGTAAGGTGTTCAAGGGTTACCTGTGCAGCTAGACAGGTGGGCTAACTGTTTGTGTAGATAGCGAAGTTTTGCGTGAAGTAGATAGATTGTCTATACTGGGCGAATGGCAGCGAATTGTGAATAGTACTTGATATAGTCGGGTACCTAGACTATGACTTGTAGTTGGTGAATCTGTAGCAATAAGGATTTTAGGGTCGATTCTGCAAATCGGACTTAAAATGAGATCATAATATATATTTGTTGTCTAACAGTTATATATTATATTTAGAAATTTCAGTCTTATTTAGAATTATTCAACTTTTCTTTCTGAATCTAAGGGTTTGTTTACTTCCATGTACAATGGTAACTTCCTTTTCCAAAAGTTCCAATGAAATGAAATAATGTTTATAAATATATCTATATTCTCTATTATCCTTAAATAAAATTTCCTTTTTATGATGTCTAGTTCCAGGAATTTGAAAGCGTCTCTGGCCAATTGTCTTGCCTTGGTCTACACTGTTGTCGGCCTGTCAGGAAACCACTAGCCCGGGCAGCTAGCACTTACCTGATGCAGGTGTCTTTAATTGACAGGCGCCAACTATTTATGGCCACGTCACGTGATCTATAAAGGTGACAGCCCCCGCCGCTGGCCATATGCCGCCTTGATTTACACGTAAGCTGCTGCTGTTGCTGACTCTCCTGAGTCTGAGACATTCGTAGTCTTATGGGCCAAGGTGTGCTATCCCTCAGCTATATCGATTAACAAACAACACTGGGAGTGGGTGTAAGACTGTGTCTGTGTATGTGTGTGTCTGTGTGTGTGTGTGTGTGTTGTAGCTATTTCCGTGACAGTAATCAATTTATTTTTGGCAGTGCGCCGATTGCGTTTCCGTTTCGTGGAGTACTCTGCTGAAGATTGGGGAAAAGTTAAGCGTGGGCCAAGTTTTTGGGGCCAAGTTACGTTTCGTTTGGTTTTTGGCGCAGCGATTTCCGCCAGAATGTCGATAAATCATGTCCCGTCGCAGCTCAAAGTGAAAATGCCAGACGAGGATTTAGAATTGAGGAATTGGGCACGGATAGGTGGGCATTGTTATATATAATATATATGTATGTATGTATGTTGCATACGCTGCGACAGATCCTTTCACGTTGTTGGCGTGATAGATAAGTTGACAGAAGAAGGGTTATCGTCGGCTGTCTGTGCGTCACGGCTTAATCAATCTTTCAAACTCTCTCCGTTTTTTTTTGTTATTTGGCAATTAATTAATTTGCGCGCCTGGCGAGCTGACGGCACGTGACCAGAAAAGTTGACTCTCAGCACGCGAGAGATAGAGAGAAAGAGAGGAACAGAGAAGAAGGGGAGGGACAGTGAGGCGACGCCTCTTTAAAATCTCTCCAGTCTCTGGCAACGGCTCCATAATTCCGTTCTGGGCTTGGGTTCGGGTTCAGGTCAAGTGCTGGAATTGATGTTTCGTTTATGATTTATCGTCGATTGCTTGGCCAGTCATCGTATCAGTTACCCCCAACCAGGCCGGGCTGACATCTAATGGCCAGCATATTGCACAGCAGCCATGCAAAAAGCCAAAAACTAAATTGAACTTACAGTGGCTAAGGCTGCCAGCCTAGAGATGAGCGCGTGACACGATAGAACAATTGGATAGGCATACATTTTATTTAAAGCTGTTGATCTATGACTTGCACTTTATCCCTGGGGTTTATTAAGCTATCAGGACTTTGGACTTACAGCTGACGAGCTGATGTTGTAAAGGCTATTAATATGATATGTTATAATAATATGATCTAAGCTTACGAATGACTTAAACAATAACTACTAATTTTTTATGGATTATAAATTCACATATGCTATTTGTAGTTTTTTGCTTCATGATTTATTTTCTCTATTCATCTTATCTATTATGAAAAATAAATTGAACTAATATTGATACCAACTATTATGTATAAATCATAGATATTATTCTAATATAAATACTAAATATTATAAAAGTTCGACTAATTCTAAACGTCTTTATTCTTTGTATAAACTATAAATAGTTTTCTCATATAAATACAAAATATTACACCAGAAAATCACATCGCTTGTCTTTGTTTTCACACTCACGACTCACGCGTCCATCGCTAAATGGCAGCTTACGCTGAAAGCATCGTCGTCGTCATGCTGTCATAATCATCCGAAGACAGCATTCATCCATCCAGGCCGTTTTGCAACGCCCACATGTGCGGGGCCGCACCACCCGCGACTCGCAGACATCTCCATCAGCGCGCAACTCCAACCTACGCAATCCTGATGTAATAACCATGTTTTCAGCTTGTAATGCGGCAGGGTAACAACAACAACAGCAACAACAAGAACGACAGCCTGGCCCATTACATTGCGGGGGTTAAAGTCAAGTCCCGGCAATATACAGCAGGCCAACCGAGGATAGCGAAGGGGAGGGTACGGCAGGGCAGGGCAGGGCAATAGCTGGGCCAAGAGGGTCGCCAGTGTGCGCTGTGAGGGTGCAGGGCGCTACTTGGGAGTTGTGAATTGTTTTTGATGTTAAATGTGTGATAATTTAATGACTGTCGACGCCTGACGCATCGCAGGACGCCAGGACTCTGTCTCGCAATTGAGCAATATGTCTGGGTGGGAGTTCTGCTGCTCTATAAGAACGCAATCTTCACTTGAGCTGAGCGTTTAATTTACTGGAATAATAAAAACGTTTTTCGGGCATAAAATTCTGTGGCTGGATATGATTTGTGCACATTTCGATGTAACAGATTGTCTTTTAATGGTTTGCAGTGTTACGAAAATCGTTGCTCCCATCCCACTGGATCTGAGAGGGTTGTTTCCGTTTCAATTTCGCACAGATACGATGATTAGCCACTTGGCTGTTGGCTGTGGGAAAACCCTCAGGAGATGCGCCAACATTGTAGCGCTAAGAGAATTCAAGTTATTCTAAATACTGGTAATTACACTAGCTTGTCGCTAGGCGCACTTTTATTTGTATGCATGAAACCAGTTTTATAGTTGACTTTATCTATCTTCCGATATTCATTTGCATACTGGACTTGTACTTCTCCATTTGCATAATATCAAAAATTCTTCCATCAATTATTTATTAGTGGAACTATTTTCTTCCACAAACACGATGAGTAACAACTATCCAGTTGACTATGCTTTAATAAATTTAAATTAATGTAGTTTTTAAGCTGTGGAATACTTAAAGTTCAGCAATTAACTATGTTGTAGCTTATGGAAGATATATATTTTTAGTTGTAGCAAGAGCTTCTCCTTAGTAATGAGTAATAACATTTTTTTGCTTGTTCTTTCTTCTTCTTCTTTCTTTTCTTGTTCTCTAGCTGGTATCGATCCAATTATTATATCTCCTATTATTGTAGCTCCTATGAAAAAAAAAAAAAAATCAAATACATTTTTTCGCTGAGAATTTATAAATGGTATATTTTAATATACTACATTTATATTCATTGAAATTGGAGCTTGTTAAAAATGTTTATTACATGCAGAAAGGGGGAGTGACTGACTCTGTGAATTCTTGATCAGCATATATGTATATCCGACTTGTCTGTCTATTCAAACATTCTTCTCTCATTCGTCCGTCCATCTACTGTTTGTCTGCTATCTGCTAGTCCGTCCGTCTGTCTGTACCTCCGTTCATCTGTCTGTTTTTCAGTGGGCCTGTTTGCTTGTCTGTATGTATAATTGAGTCGACCTTGAAACCTAAATTAACTGTAGATTTGTATCTCTTATTATTGGCAAGTTTTATCAAATTTTTAGTTATTTATGCAAGAGTCAATTAGAGCTAGTGTCAACTATTTTGATATGCAAATTCCATTAAAGAATAATAACAAGTACTCTCTTTTCTTATCTCTTCTAAATTAGCTAAAACTGATTATAGCATATAGTATACACAATATACATCTACACAATTTGATGTTCTAATCACGCTCTTAATTTCAATAAGTGGTTTCTGATGTTATCCTAAAGTTGCTGCATAAAATATATTTCTTCATTCAAACCCCCCTACACTAATCATACATATTCCGTTTGATATTTAAAAATCAGTTTTGATTCGAATTTATTCATAATTTTATATGAAGAAATCGCTTTTTATGCATATTGTTCTAAGAAATACCTACATATGTGTAGTTTGTTCAATAACTAGTCAAGGGGTACATATAAAACCTGCTGAAATTCTAAAAACAATTCCAGCAAACTGGAATCTAAGCATATTTTACATATTTTTATTTGTGACCAAGCCGCAAGTGTGTCAAACATGTTTAGTTATCGATAAATACTATTGTTTTCTTAATAAAACATCACATATAAAAACGTGTCTATTGTCATGGTTGGGGGAGTCACCCAGTCAGGTTTTTGGCCAGCTTAGGGAGAATCCAAGTGAAATTTTCTGCCTCGAAGCTAATCAAAATTTATGCAAATCCGAGCTAGCATTTTGATTTTGCACTAATGTAGAAATATGGCAAATGTGTGTTGGAAAAAAACTGAATTTCAAATGTGCGAAATGTGGCAAACACCACGCGCACACACACACGCACACATGTGTGTGTGATTTGCATGCGATGATAAAGTGAGCGCAGACAGCCGCAAACAATGAAAAATGTTTTTCAGCCGTCGGCAATGTGCGTGGGCGGGGCACTGAAATTCATGCTAATAATTTAATTTGCCAGCGAGAGGAAAATCCAAAAAAGAAGAAAATATGTATATACATACACATATATGTATTTTTTTTTTAACTGCGCCACGTGACTGCGATTTATGAGTTAAAACAGGCGTTCACAATTAATATTGAAATATTATATATTATATATTTATTTCAGACGTCATCTCAACTTAATCATAATGCGGCTTAGCAGAAGTGCAGGGCATTGAACTGCTCCCGATTATTGTTGACCATATTGTTGTATTTATAGGCAGCTGCAGTTTGGGAGCTGCTGCTGCTGTTGCTGTTGTTGCCTTGGTGGCCAGAGCCAACGCTCAGCCTGTTGCTGCGCAGGAAGCTGTCCGCCGGGCTGCTGGAGATGCCGTATTTGCCGAGCTGCATGTCCTGCGCGTTGCGCATGGGACTCAGGTGCTTGGCGGGAACGGCCTTGCTAGCGGTGCGAGTCTGATGGACCATGGTGATAGTGTATGGGCTCAAGAGTTCAATTTTTCAGTTACAAAGTGTGTACAGTCGCGGCTTGATCAAGTCAGGGCACGTTGGTCAGATGCGTGAGCACGAAGAATTCCAGGCGATTGCCGCAGTTGCTGGTGCGTGAACCCTTTTTGGAGGATAGATGCTTTGAGAGGCTGCGGGTGTTGCGATAAATATAAAATTAGTTAAATATGTCCATCATTTGATTTCGCTTGCTCGAACTGACCTTAAATTATTTAAAAGCTTCGCTTTGGAGTCCGGTGTCCTCATTGACACATTTGATTTGGCACGTTTACGAAAAAGTTATAATCTCACAAAAAAATGAAATTTTCTGCTTGCTTGTTTTAGCCACGTTGCTTGCTCTTGGGTTTGTGTTTTGAAAGCGGCTTTGGCGCGCGGCTTTTATACCCCAACACGAGGCGCTGATCTAGTTCGGGGGAGATCATCAGCCGCATCATGTGGCCGGTGCGTGTTAGCCAACTTGTTGTCGTGCTGGCGACAACAAACATGTTACGGCCAGACGCATATGCAAATATTCGACTGTTATGAAAACAGCCAAAAAAAAAAAACTGAAAAAAACTAAGTTGAAGATGCGTCAATGCTGTCGGAAAACAAGGCAAAAATATCGCAGACTACGTCATATTTCGAGAAGTTGGAAGAACGTCTAGTGGTCTTTGCCCAATGGGGATGAAAGTTCGGGAAAATATAGGAAATACGATTATTTCCAGTTAAATTTGTGTGTAAATAGAAACATAAAATTTACTAAAGTTCGAAAGTTCGGGAGAGATAAAGACAGATATCTATATAGCTAGAAGTAAGCTGTTGCTTGCTCTTTGGTTCTCTTCACATCTTAGTTGATTGTTGGTCTATATAATAAATGCATAGTTATAGGTTTAGTGGCTCTAGAAATAATGTTTGAATTTGAACTGAGTCTTGAGTCATTCCATAAACTTTTGGTTATTATGTTAATTTGTTAAAAGGAAATTTATTTTGCTATCTGATATCAAATCAAGTTTGTCAAAACTTAGAATTTAATATATTACATCAAAATCAGTAAAGTTAGATTTATAATACGTAAAAGTAAATATTTATAATATATTATTAAGCTATGTAAATAGAATATATGATATAAATGTAAATATTTGTATATAAAAAGATATAAATGCTTACAATATATATAGTAATATACAAAAAAAAAAAAAATCAATTTTCACTTTTATTAAAATGTTAAATATTTTAATTTAAAGTTCAGCTTGACCAGAGTTACCTTTCACTTAGATTAAATATATATTATATAGTTAGTCACTTAATCCTTTTAGCAAGTTTATTTTCATCTCTCCTATCTAGTAAAGTCTTCCTTCAATTTTTTATCCATTTCAACTAACTTCCTCTACATATTTATTTCAACAAAATGTTGTCAAGTTTTATTCTGCTTTATATACCTGAAATATTTATGCATTTGCTACCTTTCGCGTAATGGAATATTTTGTGTGGAGCCAATGTCTGGGCACGTTTTCAAATTAAAACATAAATTAAACAATGAATAAAATCTGCCCAAGTGTCTGGCTACATTTGCATAATGCATATAGCAACACGAAATAATAAAAGAATTTGACATTTAACGGTCTGTTACACATTAGCATCGATTCCAATTTAAAGCCAGAGAGCCAAGTGCAAATATTGACATTTAAGCCGAGAGGACCCTAGACGTTCAAAGTACAATACCCAGTTAATATTTTTATGTTGTTATTTTTGTTTTCGGTAGCAGTCAATGGCCGACTGTTTATTGTAAACAACAATATGTTTAATTATAAAAATACTACTGAATATATATTTATATATATACCAATTTATTGTATTTATTTTTACAATAACAATAATAATTTGTTCAACTCGAATTGAATTCACATTGTATGATAAATGATATGTGTAAAAACTTTTACATAAGATAGGGAAGATGGAGAAGGGCAGTTCTTATGATAATTAAGGTTAATAATAATTGCTCTAACAAAGTGAGTGTAGTTAGACTGAAATGAAGTAAGATATGAAGATATATATAGATGTTTTCTAAAATCAAGAAAGATATGAAAATATACTATATGTTTCCTTCATTATTTAAATATCATTTCTAATTTTAAAAATACCAGATTGGCCTGTTTTAAGATGTTTTAATAAAATTTCTATCGAAATTTTTTTTTTTTTTTTTTTAAGTTTAGTTGCGCGTGCCATATTCTTATCTCATATTGCTGAATAAGGAAAGTAAATATTAGTTTATAAAATATTTATGATTTTAAGAAACCTAAAATTATTGTATTCTTAAAATTTTAATTTTAATTAAAAAATATACCATATGTCTTGAAGGAAATAACTCTTATTATTCTTGAAGTAACTCTAAGCCTCAGCCGTAAATAGAGCTTCATATTATTTATTATAGAAATACTATCTTCAATAAAATATACCAAAAAAAGTATGTATTGATTCAAGTAAAAAAATTTAATTTTTGTAAATTTGTACGTCATATAATTTGTAGCTAGATTTTTATTGTTGCATAAAAAAAAAATATATATATTTTTTTACTAGATATCCTGTGCAATGAACAAAACTTGTTTGAAAGCTTCATATCCTATATAGTATTCAATATTTGCGGGATTATTTATTACAGCAAGTTATATCACAGATCGATCCAACTCTAGATAACTATATACACCCTATATAACAACAAGAGCAACAACAGATTTAAATACAAATATGGACTTAAAGCTGTTTACTGGCTTTCATGTTGATTTCTTGTCCGAATTGGCTGATGCAATGCAATGGTAACTTTTCATCAGCCAGGCTCATGCATAATCTACTGATATATACATACTATATAAACATACTATATATACATACTATATATTCGTATAATCAGCAGAGACAGTCGTAGTATTGGATGTATACATATTCATATTATTCATGCGATGGCCACTCGTCAGCTGAATGGAAATGCAACAGTGTTGAAAAACAAAAAAACAGCAAAAAAATGTTAAGATAACTCATCTAGGCCGAGTTCCTCATAGAGCCGGCCGGTGGCAAATGTTGGCGCAGTAGCTCGTACTACGTGAGTCTCAGCAGGTTCAGACAGTTCACTGAACAGGCGGTGGAGTAGCGGGAGCGCATGTTACTGCTCTTTGTATATTCTGTAGTATAAGTTTGCGAAAGGGTGTTTTGCGAGAGATTGTAAGATTTTGATCGGTATATGAACTATATCAACTACATTGAGGATTGAGAATCCTTAACCATATGATCAGTTTACATTTGAACTATTTGACTTTGGTATATTTTCAAGTATTGATGTATTTTTGATTACCGTAGGAAAATATTACTTTACAGCTAGGGAATGAGTTACTATCCCAGCTGTTTCCATGTTTGGAGACAAACAGTTCCATAAAAAATATTTATTCGAAAGTTTCTTCTTGCTTAAAAGTGACTTGCAGGGTATCTGCCAGTCGACCATGCCATTCCCAATCTGCTTTCTGGCTTGTTTGTGCTGCGATTTGCAAATGTGACAAACCAGTTAGTTGGCAACTCTAATTTGCATTGCCGACGACGACAACGTCGAACGGGTTTTTGTCTGCGTCCGAGTCTGGGGCCCCAGGTCTGAGGTCTGGTCACTGAAACACAGGGCCAGCTTTGCTCATTGGAGGTGAAGGCGGTCTGGCAGGGGGTGCGGTCGGCGAGGGCGGTTAGCGGGGCTTTCTTCATTGCTCATGCGACACGTTGCCTTGCAGCTGCTGCTGCTGTTGCTGCTGCTGCTGCTGCTTAGAACCGTCACGCTGAGCTGTCGGGCTCTGCATTTTGTAGCATTCGCTTATTTAAACCAGTTGCAGGCATCGTTAGAGGCTCAGTAGAAAGTTCCGAACAGAGGCGAACGCTGCAGCTGAATCAAGCGCTTGGCAAACCGTTCACGTAATCCTTGCGGACAAAATTGCAAACTCCATCAAATTTATCATTTCTTTATCAATGTGCAAATTGCAAAAGTTTTGTGTCAATGCCAAAAATTAGCAAACCAGTTACTAAACTAGACAAACAATTAGGGTAAGTCCAGTGTTGTTAAGTTATGCAAAAAGAGAGAGAAAAAAAAAATGAAAACAAGTTAGCTAACTGAGGCCATGTCTGTGACATATTGCAGATTGGACAAAAGCCTAGCGTGCAGCAAAGGATCTCGTACGGGCAACTCGGCCAACAATAAGGAACTGAAGGTGTTGACTCTGCTGCAGACTGTGCCGTGAACTTTGTACTCTCCGTAAGAGCTAGCTAGAAAGAGAAACATTTAGCTACTGCGCAGCTCAGTGTAATTAGAAATCGCCATTGAGAAGATACTAAAATTGAATCAAGCCAGAAAAGCAGCTCAAGTAAACCCAACAAAATGGTCTACACAGAACGCACCGACAAGTGTCTGACGTCCAGCAAGGAGAGCGCCGGAAAGCAGGACAAATCCCAGTCGAAGTATCAGTCCAGTTTCAGTTCCCGTTCGGGCTCCAGTTCCAGTTCCAGTTCGGGCGCCTGGAGCAGTCAGGCGTCGAGCGACGAGAAATGGAAATACAATAATATGGTCAAGGATAATCGCGACCAGTTCAACGGCATGCACTTCTCTTAACTCCCAGCCAGAAATGGTTGGGTCTGCAGAGGGGAGGGGGTGTCTTTGGGCTAGTTTATTAGCCGGAGTGCAACGTGATTGAGACCAATTGTTATGTCTGGGTTTTATGGGTAAATTTGTAAGTTAGTTTAAGACTGTTATTAGAAAGTGTTAAATTCTACAAAATCTGCAAAAATTAACTAAAAAAAAAAAAAAAAAAAAAAAAAAAAAAACAGATGCGCAAAAAAAAAGAAGCAAAAAACGTGTTTTAAGTCGCAGATGAACAATAATTGAGGTTATGTTGAACTTTCTGGTTGAAAGCCGAATCGTAGTATGAGATAATGCTTTGTCTCTGATGCTGGATATAATGTTTTAGTTAATTTGATTTCCGTTATACTATACGTTTTGGCTGAGTAACTGTTTTCATGAATTTAACTGTTGTAGAGTTATGTTAGAGCGAAAGTATCTCGGAATTGGAAACAAATAAGCATATGGAGAAACCAGTTTTGATTTACTTGAATTATTTATTAGTACACGAGGTGTCTATACAGAGTGAGGTTACTTGAAAAGTTGCACACTTTTAGGTTAGTTAGAGAATTGAGCATTTGACAATATTTTGGATTAACGTGACGAAGATCTTTAATTGTATATGTACATATATATGTATATGTAATTGATGACATATTGGTGATTTTATAATGTAGCTATACGAGTAAATTGATTACAGTTTTATTGAAAGTGGGTAAGATTCAGAAAATTTTTATTAATAATGACTTAACAAAACAGGGAAACAGGAAAAGCCGGTTATAATATTTGCTGTCTTCCCTTTTGTCAGTCAATTTCTATATCTTGATGAGTAAATATATTCTATGAGCTAGATATTTGGTATATAATACACATAAGAAGTGCTCTACTTTCTTCGATTTCCATCATTTGCCTAGTATTCCCTAGTTGATCACTTTCAAGCAGAGTTCTCTTGCCTGATACTTTTTGCTGATTACTTGATATTACAAGAAATAGTTAAACTCTTTAGACATTTTAATTTCTTTGTTTCTTCATTACGTTCCCTATCTTAGCACCCTCTACTCAAATCTTTTCCCTTCACTAATTTCCTTGATACAAATCATGTCGAACGACACCCATTGACCTTGCTACTTGACTCATGGCATATCGCATCTATTACTGTCTGCGAAACATTTGCATGAGCTGTGGCTATTACCGTGATTAGCTTAACTTATGCAGAGGCCATCTCCCCGTCAGCCGGAACCTGGGGCAAAGTGCACTTAATACACATTAGGTACGCTTATTTGACAGACCCCGGGCCAAGGTCCGGGCCGTGCTGCAATATTGATGATGTCTGCCCGTCTTGACAAACAGCGCCCAACCCACAGCTCACATCCCACAGCCCACAGCCCACAGCCCAGAGCCCTCGACAGGGGGTGGCGCGTGCTCGACTGTGGGATCAAGTGTATCTCTGTCCGCTCAGGCATTGCCGCAGGGTTCGACGGGGTCCGGTAGTCGTTGGTCGACAGAATTTACGCATCGCTTGGATTAGAAGTGCGAAATTTTTGATAATTTTTCAATTGTATTGTTTGCCAATGGGCAGATAGAGTCCTTCGACTCCTGCCCGTCCGATGGGAGTGGGAGTGAGCTGCGGTCGTCCTTTTGACACACGACTGCACAAGGCACACGTGGCGCTGGCTATTAGAAACGATTTCCTTTATGCCGCTAATAGAACTTTTTCGATACACATCAGAAAATTTTATTTTTATTTTTTTCTCTCACTTTCTCTCTCTCTTTCTCGATATATATATATTTATTTTTTCCTCTGCGTGAAATGTTGTGGCATTCCCTCTTCCGGGTCTGCGACACTTGATGTGTGCGGCGTCTAATTGAAGCGACTTATTTTCAATTTATATACACATATATATATATAAGTATATATCTGTATTTTTTTCTGTTCCTTTTAGGCTTGTAATTACTTTGTTTCCAAGCGCCGGGCGGTCGCTTCTTAATCCTGTCGGGTTGCCGGCATATTTCGGTTTTGGCATCTTCGTCACATTGCAATTAAAAACGCACAGCAGGTGTGCTCTGCAAAGTCCTTTGAACTTGTGCTATAAAATGTGAATGTGTCACTTGCAAGGATTCCACAACCGGATGACGACGGCCGGGATGGCTCCGGAATGGACCAACGGAGGTATGGGTAGACAAGCGACATTTGACGCCTGCCTGACTCCTGTGATTTTGGATGCTATCCAAGTGCCAAGCAATTATCACGTCATTATCATAAGGAAGCCCAGGAACAGTTCGTGAATGTTTTGATTTTTTGCCCGGAATATTTACAATTTATGAGAATGATGTAAGGCTGATTGATGTCAGTATGCCGAGGGGGAGTTTTAAAATTTCATTAGTCATCTAACATTTTCTTTAGCAAATATTGTGGAACTGTGATGTTAAGCATGTATTGTTTGTAACTTCGATATCTGTTAAGGCTTACTGCATAGAGTAGTCTTCCTTACTGAACACTTTTATACAGGGAATCGGAAAAAAAATAAGTTTTACACATATTACACCCTGTCAATTTTCGACTGACCCCTCTGGCAGCCTTATACCTTTTGACATAGATGCCAGATCGTTTATTAGTATACCGCGTTTGCCAGATTCTGTAAAAACTCTCTCTTTAACTGTAATAACTGCTTCTTTAGTTTATTTAATAATTTATTTATAATCTTAAAAACTAACTTGCAAAGTTAGTAGTAGCACTGGCTACTGAGGCCTTTAGCTTGGATTAAATCATATAATATTTGTTCATTGCAAAACTCTCTGAAATACATTTAGTATATCGTCTCACCACAACAGCAATAGCCCTCGGATAAGACACTACCAAGTCATCTATCTACTTTTATTTTTTTTTATATTTTCAACAAAGATTATCATTTCATTTGGTTTTGTCCTTTTAAATAGCTCGAGCCCTCAGGCCTAATGAACTCCGGTCCGGCTAGTTTTCGTCGAAATGCTGGCATGTCAACGTGAAGGTTTCCGCATGCTTCGACTCCTCCTCTATTATCTACCGTCGGGCTTCCGTTGACAGACAACCCTTATTGTGAGCGGGCGATAACATCTTCCGACAACATGTCACATGCCACGTGCTGGAAAATTATTATGAATAATTTCCGTAACTTCTGTTCGTTTCTGTTCTGTGCTGCCAAATCGCAGCTTGCAGTGAAAAAGTGACATGACCATGCCCGGCATTTGCTTGCCGCCCACTTTTAGAGCAGTTCGCTATGCCGCGTGCCCGAAGTGTGGGGCGTGCCGTCAGATACAACTTCCGACATCCGCGACAGATGTTTTTGTGCGGGAATGTGCAAAGGCGGCTCTACTCTCAACACCCCTCGCTGCGCTGATCTCTACCTTGGTTTTTGGTCTTGTCTCTGATTTTGGGAGTTGCGCCCGGTTGCAAAACAATTGGCAGGATAATTTCTCGACGCGGATGTCTCCGCCAGCAGTTCGTGAATTGTATTTGAATTGTGAATATGAATGTACTCGATAATCATGTACGGGCCAAAAGGTGTTCAGCGAGTTTTTCTCGTTCCAGTTGTCGTTGTAATTGTTGTTGTTGTTGCTGCTGTTGTGCGTGTCACATGGCATCTCGTTTGTAATATTTTTGTTGGCAAGGTGTGACGCAGTTGCCAAACATCAAACAGACATAATCCAAAATTGATTCGCCCCCTCACCCAACCGCTGCAAATCGTGCGTCATTTGAATGGAATCAAGCAGACAAAATTCGATACGCCCCAAGTGATCTATATGCCTGTCACATGAGCTGTACAAAAGGTGCAATTGCAGGCGCGAATAGATAGAGAGAGAGATAGAGAAATAAAGAGATAGAGATAGAGACACTTATAGTATAAAATCTGTATATATTCTGGGAATCATAATATATTATTATATACAATATAACACAGGTTATTTACAGTTACTTTTCAGAATTTTAAATTAGCCATATCACATCAGGATTTTGAAATGTTGAACTGACTTTTTAACAGCGCAAAGGTTTTCTTTAAAATTATTTATTTTAAGACTATAGCAGTATCTAAAAATTAATATACATCTCTATCTGTGTAGCTTAAAATACAGCTGCTGAACAGTTCCCTGCATCTCTTGGTCGCTCTAGTTGGTGAGTATAAACCCTACTGAATTACACAAGTTTATTTATTTATTTTTTATTTTTCAATTCTATATTAAATGTTAAACTGCCTCAAGTAAAAATCTTTTTCGCATTGTTTAGATCTCTAAAGTACAAATTAAATTAAATCATTAAAAATAAGTCTATGCAGATTAAGTCTAATTGCGTTTATGATTAAATACCATATTAGATTGCTAATCTCAGATTTATTTAAAAACAAGAAATAAATATTTTTAAACATTTTTGAATATGTTTTTCCAAACATTTGCATTTTGAATTTTTAATTTGTAGAATATTTTGAATATATACCAACAGACAAAAAGATTCAATTAATTTTTTGACATGAATCAACATGACAAAATCGATGCCTAGATAAGCCCTGTAGAAGATACGCATTTGATATATCAAATCATATCATATAACATTTCTGTTTTATATTTTCCTTCTTTTTCTTTAGATTATGTAAATGCTATATAATTTACAAAATATGGCAAACATGCGGCCAAACAAAGGGCGGCAATTACATGAAAATCTCAATTCAATTGAGAGGCTGCGAATGGAGACGCGGCTGTCAATAAATTGAGAATCAACCACCGTTAAATATGAATACAAACAGCATCAGGCTCAGCCGCCATTTCTGATCGACAGCTGTCACGAATGACAATTGGATTGCCAAGTTCTGGATTGCCCTGGTTCTGGCTCTGGCCGGGCTCTGACTCCGGTCTCTGGTCTCTGGCCTCTGCCCTCCGTCTGCATCAAAATCGTATAAAATATGCAATAAAAATATGAGACCGCAGAATTCTTATTTATAGAATACGTAAAATGCACGAGGTCATCAAAATCAGAGAAAACAACAATAATAACAACAGCAACAACAACAACGAAAACGACAACGAAAGCGATATGAAAATTGAAACAATGGCAATGGCTCTACTCGATCCGGGAGTGGGTTTCATTGCGGGACTGGAGGACACTTGAGTAAAACGCAGAAACGTGGTTGCGTTTTTCGTGACTTGTGGGCGAGAGTGCGGCAGGGGAAATGTAAAATTGAGTATATTCAATATAAATGAGCTACACACTTTAGTAATTGAGGTATACAAATATATTTGTGGAATAAAATGTGTGCAATATAAATTAAATATAAATGTAATAGATATGCCTTAGCTAATAAGATTTTACTTTTTTTAGGATTTTCAATCTGGAGTATCTTGTCTGAATTTCAAACCTACCTGCAGGATACCCTGGCTATCTTGTCTTCGAGCAGTCATATGTTTGGACTACGAATAGGAATGGGAATATAAGTTAACTTCCATATTTAAATATATGTATATATATTTCTTTACTTTACCAGCCCAGCTGTAGGGCATTTCGCCAGTCAGTGTGAGCCCAAATAAAATAAGTCTGTTATAAATAAATGTTTGCCATAAAGAAAGGCAAAGCTTTAAATGCAATTATGGTTCATATGCAGCTCTTACAAAACGCCAATGATATGAGCTGAGTGTCTTTTGTTGTGGCTTAAATATACACACACATATATGCACACACACCCATCCACCCATCACACTCGAACCACTCTGTTGCGAGCCAAAAAAATGAGGAAAAAAGCTGCACGAAGCTTCCTCCATTTGTTGCACGTCGCTCGGGTGGTTCATAAGTAGATGAATATGAGCACATAACATTTTATATGCCTTGTAAGCGAATATATGTGTATATGTGTATATAGAATATTTATATATAGAATATATGTATGTATATGATATATAAATGGCATATGCATCGGCACCACAATCGCATCATTTTGAGCAATTAAGTATGTGTATTATCCCTGTCAGAGGGCCTTGAAACACACACACACACACACACACATATCAAAACAGACGCTTGCGGGGTGCCGCCCCTACCCCTGTCGTTCACTGGAGGTCCTGCCACCGGAAGTACATTGAATATGAGCCTGTGTGTGTGTGAGAGTGTGTGTGTGTGTGTATGCTTTTATGCGCAAATTGTGCATTTATGTCGACAATGCGCGTGACGACGATTCAACTTGAGGCTCGACGAGGCTCACCTTTGTCCCTGCCTCTGCTACTGATTCTGCTCCTGCTCCTGCTTCGACTCCTGCTTCTGACCCAGCATCAGCTGCAGTTCAACAACAACGATAGAGTGAGATTTTGACAGAGGGAATGTGAGATAGAGAGAGAGAGTTAGAGTGAGAGTGGGGGTTTCTGATCTGCTGTAGCTTTCTAGCACTTCTTTAACTAGTTCATTCTCTTTGTATTATTGCCATGCCCACTTTTACTTTCTGCCATTGTGAACGGCTCGCAGGAGGTGGACGGCTGTCAAATAAGTTAATCGAACAAACAGTGAGTCAGTTACTCCCACAAGCTTAGCAGAGGCAGCGGCTGAGAAGTGCAGACTCCTAAGGCATAGGAATTACGCTGTAATACTATTTATAATACTATACTATACTATTTATAATACAGAAGTATCCGGGCTTCAAGGGATCGTCGTTATACCCGGAAGACGCTATAACTGTACGAGTTTACTCATATAAGTTTGTCTGGGGAAAAGAATTTTCGACGCAATAACCGTACAGACGCTATAAGCGGAGTCGTTATAGCCGGATTCTACTGACATTTAAAATTATTATAAATATATACTTTATAAATATATTTCTTTATTTTGTAATTTAATATATTTTAATTTAATATATTTTATATTTATTAGGTCACACACATACACAGTTACTGTAATATTAGAGTAGTATAGGTTAATAATAATCTAGATTCATTTTCCACATAAAATTTGATTCTTTCATATAAGAAATAATCCAGCTGACGATATTATTGACATCTTCGACATCTTTCAACAACAAGATAAGTAAAATCAACTTCAGCCTCCCATATGGACTGTCAAATGCAAGCGAAACTAGAAACCTTGCCACGCCCAACTAGCCTCAACTCTCAGCCATGTGTCAGCTCGTGGCCAATTTAAAATTCAATTTAAATTCAATTGATTTGAGATCTGGAAAATGATTTAACAGTAGTCAAAAATACGAATAACGAAGGACGCAAGACTCAAATGCTCAATGTAAACACACACACACACTGAAGCGCAGCGGGGAAGCCCCATTAAGAGCTTTTTGAGTCTTTGACTCGGACCTGCGCTTTGTGGTTGCCAATGGGAAGGCGTTGAAAGGCAACAGCAAAAAGCAAATCTAATTACAAAAGAACATTTCCAAACGTAACCCGGAGAAAATGCAGAAGTGAAAATGTGATAATTGAAATGGGGCTTCCAAGTTTCGGACAGAGTTGCCTGCCATAAGAAAAACAATAAATTATGCACACAGCACATAAAAGACACAACCTGCCAGGCGGGCAACCTGGGCACATGCCGCACCACTACCACTGCCACTGCCACTACCAACACCACTCCCACCCATCCACCGTCCTAACAACAGGCCACAAATCTAGAACGGGGGTTTGGCCGGCAAGCAACAACACTAATTGCCTGGCGGGCAAGCGGAAGGCGGCTCCTGCAACAATGCGAAGCAATCCAACAAACAACAGTGGCAACAACAGCTTGTTTTTGTTTTCACAGCGACGACGTTGCTCTCAATGAAGGCCCGAAGCCGTAGGACACATGAGCACATCCCCCGAAATTGTTGAAGGAAAACGGAAAAACGTTTACTACTCCTTCACGTTCCGGCAATCTCATAAATAATAACAAAATTTCATTAAGACAAATTATTGTCTATCAATATGTTGCCAGCGTAACGCCACCCCCAACTGACCCACCAGCTCAATACACTAGCCAAAAGGCTGCTCGTTATGCTTACAGTTTATTGGCCAAATCACATTTAGGATAATGTTTGTCTATTAGCGTATCGATATTTAATTGAATATTCTATTAATCTTATCTATAGCATATATTCTATATAATATATAATGCATATAACACATACCATATAATATATAGTTATGCTATGATGTTTATAGTTAAATTGTAATAGAACAATTAATTGACTATTCGAATTCTGATCGTAAAATTGATTATAGACTGGTCTTGCGCTCAATTCGTATACTCGCTATTCACTACTCGCTATAAGTTACTCCTTCTATCAAATTTAATTAACGTATTTTATTTGAGTAACTGCTTATCTACCAGCATTTTACCGTCGTAGCTCATCTATGCTTGTCAAGCGCTCAATAAAGATACACGTTACTAACTACTCGTTACTGATTACTCGCCACGATTTTGTTAGGTTGTATATGAGCATTTAATTAATTAATCATATATATGTTACTATCATATACTTATAGACTGGGCAACTCCTCCACTACTTGTTGCTAATTATCTGGAATTTTCGATAGGTAACTCGCTGCTTTTATGAATACGAGCGTTGCGTGTCTGTTGCCCCTTATTCTCCTTCTCCATAGCTTGGTATTTGTCTCTCAGTACTTAGTTTTTGCTACTTTCCAACTGCCCCCTGAGTACGTACTCATACAATATTTAAATCACCTGACTCATTTCATACCATTTACTTATTATTTACTCCTTTACGTTTCAATGCAGCTATTTTACTGATATTAATATATGTATATATTATACTATTCTTTGTTTCTATCTACTCGTTACTTCTTACTCGATACTCATTTATTCATTCAGTTATTTACTGCTCTCAGCTTATTACACTTATTATTTATGTTCATTATTTTTCATTTTTTTTATCATCAATCGCTTCATATTATGATGCACTGCGCCTGATGCTCGTTTCATTCCATCCGTTACATCTTTCTCTTTAAGTGCTATAAGTCGTATGCTACTCGTTACTATACACTCACTCACTTTACACTCGTTACTTTTCAGTCAAGTCTGCTCCTTCCTCCTCTTGATGCTCTCAACATATGGTTATTCTTAACTTTCCCACAATCTCATAGTTAAAAGCCATTTGAACATATTCATATTTAGATGCTATGCTGATTTGCTGGCCTACCCGTTAGTTAATGCTGTCCACTCGCTCCACACGCTGCTCATTTGCTGTCCCCCAACTGCTGGCAGTGCCCTTCCACTGGTCGTATTTGTGCTTGTGTGTTTATGTAATAATATTTGCGGCTCATAATTGCATAAATTTTTAAATTGAACATTTTGCGCGCACCCTCGCCCTCGCCCTCGCCTGTTTGACCGGAGAGCAGACGCCCAACTGAAGCTGGAAACCAAAACCGAAACGGAAACCAACCCGGTTCATTGTGTTGGCTGCTTTGGAATGGTTAGGTTTTGGTTTTAGCTTAAATACGTTTGAAATGAAATTAAACATGCCCGCGGTACCCAACAGCAAATTGAATTACGGCTCACTCGCGCCCCTCTACTCACTCTTTGTCACGACCTCTCTCTCTCTCTCTCTGTCTTTCCCTTTGTATACATAAGTCACGTGCTTGTTTCGAAACTCTCAAGAGGCCTGTGAATTTCAGTTTGAGATAATCATCCTCGTCCACAGAATGGTGCGCCTCGTGCTCACTCGAGGGTAGCTCTTGGAGGCTCGCTCATGAGAGTTCCCAATCTTTATCTAGTCACAGATTTTTCCAAAACATTTTCCCAACTCAACTCAGCTCGGCTTGCTCAACCGCAGCTACCACTTGACTTCTTCCTAATTGTTATGAGCATACATAAATCCATATATACATATATACAAATTTATATAGATTTTCCCCAAATTGAGTCTGTCACATAGATGCGACGGCGATTCGATGCGATGCGACGCTTGGCCTCGTTTGGAGGTGCATCCAATGCGAGTAAATCGAAAAGACTTCAACGCGTTCCACTAGAAATCGAGTGTGAAATTTGATAAGTGGCTGAGCTGTCTGAAGATTACCGCACAGCTGGCCACAGGAACTGCACTGCTCTGCGGCGGATATTTGGAAATTGGAAAAACGATTTGAATTATGAATTACGCGCGCCGTTTTATGTACGTTTTATGACAGACTATTAAGATTTGTTTTGCCCGCAGTGACATAAAAAGGATCGTAAGTTTCGAATTCAGTCGACGTCTATATACAATATTTTGCTGCCTCAATTCAATTCTCAAGAGTCTGACAGTCTTAATGATGTTGTAGTTGGTTTTTCCATTGTATTTGGATTGGTTTGCGCTGGGAAAGTGTTTTCATTTAGATGTAAATCATAGATATAGATAAAGTAATACTTACTCTTTATTTAACTCACTCACGAAACTGGAATGAGTATATCGGTTGCGTACAATCAAAGGAGATATTAAAGCTAGAGACTTGAAATTTGGAATACTTACTCATGTGCCTTGCTTTGAATTTTAAAATTTCTCGCCTAAATTGATTAGACTTACAATTAATTTATGCTGATTCCTATATATATTTAAGGATCTTTTCCTGTGTGAAATCTCAAATTTTTATTTAGAGCTCGAGCTTTAATGATTCAATCATTTGAGATTTTGATATAAAGGCAGCCGCAGCTAAGCTTTAATTTCTTCTTATATACATCACTTACATTGCTTACCAATTTAACATTCTTCCCCCTCCAAGTTTTGTCCCAAACCTTATCAAACATCCAATTACTCTATCATATACCCAGTCAAAGGCAAGTTAAGCACTGTTTGGCCTAATGCTTGGGGCTTTGAGCTCTTTCCATGGTCAGCTCCATTTATTATAACTATCACATGCAATGCTCATAAGCCCGGACTCTGGCCCTCTCCTAGCTGCGCCCCCCTTTACACCCCCTTAAGAAATGTACTGTTTCATGCATTTGTCAGGGCTGGGCTAGGAGGACTTCTTGTCTCACGCTCAGGCACAAAATCGCTTAAGGAGCTGCTGGTCAGTAACTTAGTATTTTATGTGTATGTATAAAGATTATATGGTCACACACACACGCATACACACGCATGGCACTAAAGACACTAAGCACGACAAAAAGACATTAAACACGACAACGAAATAAAAAAATATAAGAGAAACAAAACATTGAAATTCCTTATCAGCATTTCCGCTTTTCGTGACCAATGTCTCGACTCTGCGCACGTGCCCCAGTGTGTGCGTGTGTGCGTGTGTGTGTGTGTGTGTGTGTGATTGTGTGTGGAAAGGAGTATCAGTTTCGCACACACTCACGCACACACACACACACACCTACACACACTCTCTTGGTCCGTGTGGTCATGCAAAGGTTATAGAAATGAAAAAGCCAAGTGGCTTAGGCCAACTTTGTGTGCGCGCACCTGTCATTGGCTTTTCGGTGGTTTCAGTGGTTGACGCCACAAAAAGACACGCCACAAAAGTCAAGTCAAGCAGCCCCGTCCACTGCGCGGTGGGTGGGGCAGTCCGCCTATCCTGGCTATCCTACATTATTCATAAATGCAAATCGCCCTGCACTCTCGTTGTGTGTAATAAATTCTGAAGGCTGAAAAAGCATTTCAGCATTCTTTTTGCCTGAGAACTTACATAGGATAGGGTATTTTGTTAGCTAGCCATGTCTATAGATTTCGGATTGGATTCTATAGAGAAGACTTTATATCGGAAACTACTTACGTAGTTTCTAGAGTCTACAAATTCTAGAATGTAGGTATTCCAAAATTTAGACTAATTTAAAATTAAATCAATGGTATCGATAAGTATGGTATCTATAAGTATGGATTTTGCGATCTAAAAGATTTACAAGAGCTAAAGTCCTCCAGTTTGTTACTCTAGTTTACGTTCACAACTCACTTCGTTCGAGTATATCCAAGCACTTTCTTCTTCTCTAAGCGATATCTTCAGGTCGAGCACTTCCCAGTTGGCCACACATTCTTGGTTTTGGCCGCTTGGCAAGTCTTTGGACATGTTTAACACTCAATCTGTGCGGCAACTCCCAGGCCGAGGGCAGGCATATGCCGCATTACCTCCGAAACAAATTAAATCGTTTCGCATTCGACTCGAAGCCAGCAAACAGCTCGGGCATAACCAGCAGCGGGAGTAGCAGCAGCAGCAGCAGCAGCAGTAGCAGCAGGAGTAGCAGCATTTGTAAGGAGCAACTGCAAAGGACTATTACCACACACACATGCTCGACGCTCGTTAGGGGCGGTCGATGGTTGGCCGATGTGCGTGGCATGTGGTGGGCGTTGCCACACACTCACTCACACACGGGCATATTCAATTGTGCTCGTAATCTATGGAAACCACAAACTCAGACACACAACTACACAAACTCTGCTCTCTTTTATCTGCGAGCATACATATGTCTTGGGAAATGTTTGCACACCCTGTAGTATAAGAAATTATAGAATGAGAACTCCGACTGCTACAATTTTGAGTTGACTTAGTTGGTATTCAAGTAAATATTAGGGATATTAATATATTTAATTAGGAATACGAATGAAAAACTTAAAGTCAAGCAAGGCAAGTAATATGGTATAGTATATCATTATAATAGTATTTAAAATTTAATAAATAAAATTATTTAGTATTCGAGGTTGATCAAAACATTGTCTTTACAAAATACATCATGAGCTGATCAAAATTGAACTTTCAATAACTTAAAACTTAATTCTTATATTACAAATATTTGTAGTGTCTGATGCTCTAATTGTTCTTTCTGTCTAACACTACCCACATATATAGCGAAAAAATCTGTTTAGGGTCGGTCTGCTACTTATTGAATAAAATACAGTAATCTGGATTGTCTTTGTGGCGAGTGCTGTCCGAAAGATCAGGAATTAGATCAAGTTCAAGGGTTCTCACAGTTGTTGCAATGGGTATTTCGGAATCAAGTATTCCATACGCATGTGACGTCTTAGCTGGCACTCCGCAAACTCTCTCCAATTGACAAATTCTTTCGTATGACACTCCTCGGATCGGCCCTGTAAATAAATCTTTCGCCGAAGATCAGTCCAGATTGGCCTATGTTGGAGCAGAGCGCGCTTTTTGGGCATTACATAGCTCATCACTTTGGGAAAGTTATAAATTGTTGACCTGCCTACACACGCGGTCCCCAAATTTCCTCTGTATACAACGGATAATGTGGATGATAACATTATTAATAATATAATAATATTTATAATGTGGATGATAATATTTATTTAAATATATAAATATTTGATATGAGATTAGTCCGAAATTATTAACAAAATTGTCAGAAGTGTTTGAAAACTTACAGAAAAAATTGTAAGGTATACCCAACTGCACATTTGAAATTTCGCCTGTAGCCTGTAGCTTGTGTGGTTTACGAGATCGCTGCGTTCATACGGACGGACAGATAGACGGACAGACGCACGGAGAGGTGGATGGACGGATGGATAGACGGACAGACGGATAGACGGACGGATAGATGGACGGAGAGAGAAAGCTAAATCGATTCACTGTCGTCATCAATAGTATAGCGACCTCCTGCTTGTTAAGGACATTTCCGCAAGTATCCCACAAAAAATATATATATATATATTATACAGTCAAGAGCTTTGATTCGTTGATCGTCAATGCTTACAAGGGATAATAGGATTTAACTGCCTCTGAGTCGACCAAAATCCGTGGTAGAGTAACTGCTCCATGTATCCTAAAGCGCGTATCCTGCCAAACATTGCCAAGGGTAAAGCCCCAAATGTGATAAACCCAGTTGCCTTTATAGTTCCTTTTGAAACTCGGCAATGATAAGCTGAACTTGTTTCGTTCTTCGGTGGTAGATTCGGTCTGCTTGCGTGCTCCTCTTGATACGATCTTGGTAGCATTGTTACTATCATCCAGAAGCCGCATAAGCTTTGTAGATAGCCTGGATTGCTCTTTTGCCTTTTGACCAAATATATGCATTCCATTCGACTTATTCTTGTCAATTAAACGAAGTTCGGGTTTCCCGGTGATCTTGTGAGCAGGGATTCCTCGCGTTGCTACATTCAAATTCGCAGAAAGTGTTGCCTGCAAGAGCTGATTGAATTAACAATACCAACGCAAGTCGACTGAGACTTACATTCATGTGGCAAGCGATAATTGCCAGTATAAATATACCAAAATTTCCATTAGGCATTACAAACATATATGTAAATGTAAACAAAATTGTACAAAAAATTTATATACCTTACTCAACGATCGCTACAAAATCGCAATAAAACCTTTAACAGCATTTAAAAAGCACTCTTCGTTTTCAATTTCAATTGAAAGCACAGTATGTGAACTTGGGGAATACTCAAACTGTGAGGAGTTTGCGTAATCTATCTCTCGCTCGATTGACAAGGTAAAAAGTCTTTGAATCGTTAATTGAGTTTATCAAAACTTACTGATTAATGAGAACTTGATCAATAATTTAACCATTCCCAGAGTCTCGACATATATACACAGATCAAATGATGCTCAATGACTCAATGACAGCTATGGCTACTCAAACGGGCATATATGACATATACATATGTATATTTGGCTGGATCAACATTATATTCTATAATTTGTATTCTGGACAGTACTTAGCACATATGTATACTACATTAAGGCATAGCATGAAATACGGGCGAAGACGGAGGTAAAAGTTGCAATCCATTTAGACTCTATGCACACACTGACCGACCGATCTGACTTGAGATGTTCTGGCTGCATGGTATTAGAATCCGCTGCCCATTTGGTGCATTGGATACATTGGAATAATGGAATCCAGGCGCATATTACGTCTGATTGCGCACTCCTGATACTCCCGCCATGTTTTGAACTTGGCTACGTCGTGGCACTCCTCGGAATTGCCCGACTTATAGATGTGCATGCGCAGCTCGTTCCAAATGGGTCGACTTTTGATTGGGTAACTATAGACCTTACGCACCAGCCAATTCCTGACAATGGGCACATTATATACTGTCGATGCGCTTGCACAGACCGTGGAGAGGGGGCCACTGTTGAGGGAAGAGAGAATTGTTTGAGAAAAAAATACAAAAATAATAAAATTATATTATATATACATAGTTAGAATAATAAAAATAACAAAAATGGATTTTTATCTTGAAAATATCGGATCATAAATTCTACAAATAAACAGGAATGGATTCTCTTTCCCCCATATATTTAATTAACGCAAGCACTTACTCTGGATAATAATTTTTCTGGGCATTGGAGTCGATTTTGTTAGCCTGGATGGTCTGTCCGACGACGAAGCGAGTGTCTTGGCCAATTATTCCATAGGTAACGCCCCACTGGTTGTACACCCAGTTGCCCTTGCTATCTTTGATGAATCGTGGAAGTCCGTTCCGAGAAATTTTAGCACCAGGAGGGACGGCATTACCCCCACCGGCGGCAGCACCTCCTGCATTAGCATTTGTAGGACCTTCTCCACCAGCACCAGCACCAGCACCACCTCCAGCACCAGCACCAGCACCACCTCCAGCACCAGCACCAGCACCAGCACCACCACCATCACCACCTCCAGCACCAGCACCACCTCCAGCACCTCCAGCAGCATCACCACCTCCAGCACCTCCAGCAGTATCACCATCATCTTGTCTCTCGATACCATCCCGATTGAGTTTACTTTCACTAAATCCCAGGACCCCACCGCCGGCACCGCCTTGACTTGGTTTAACGCCTGTACCAGGACTGGTAGTCGGACCCTGAGCTATGCTCTCCGTTGTTAAGCTCACCTTTGGGGTCTGTGTTCCGACTTTCACCTTACTGACGGTGTCATTCGTGTGCGGCGCATGGCCTTGGTTTTTATTCCCAAATAAACTCATAACAGTCTTATCGGCCGATTTCTTTTCGGCAACCAAAACTTTTGGTGCCCTATCGCCTCGTGGAAGAGCTGCAGAACAGTGTAGCTGTGCGCCGATCAGGCATCCGACAGCCAAAACAAAAACAAAATTTGGCTTCAACATTTTGGATGCGAAATAAACTAGAAATTTGTGTTTGCTCAAACAGATTCACGCATGAAATGAATTTCTCTTTGATTTGGAAAATAGGAATCGGGTGCGAACTCATAGAGTTCGTTTTCAAATATAATCTGTTTAGAAAATAGCTACGAATAGTTGTGCCACGGCAACATACGTAATGCCTACTTTGAAAATATATGAGCGAATCACTTTCGTTCACCTAGCTGCATTTTCGCGAATAGCAACCTTGAATAACTTCGAATGGACTCATAATTAATATGCAGAAACTGTAACGTGTAAAAATCATTAAATTATATGGAAGTGCCAAGAGGAAAGGTACGAGAAAAACAAGTAAGAAAGCTATAGTCGAGACTGCTCGACTACGGATCCCCTGAACCCTTGGAGCAATAGCTATTTCAATCATTTTTCGCGTCTTTCAGCTTACACAAGAAACACGCACACACACACACGCACGCACGCACACACAGGCATACACACACAAACGCATACACACACACACATATACACAAACACATACACATACATACACACACATACACAAACACATACGCACACAAGCACCCACGCATAAACACGCATGGGCTGCAGTGTGCGCTTACTATGAGAACTTAATTGTTTAATAACTTTTTTTGTGGACATACGATCTTCATGAAACTTTCAGATTATGATTACATGTATTTGCCAAATCACAAGTCTCTAGTATTTGAAATACGCTTTTTACAAATATGGGGGTGGGGGTAAATTTTAACAAAAACCGAAATTGCATAAAATGCATATAAGCATTCATTAAAAATTTGGAGACTCTAGCAAAAAAGGTGTAGGAGATATAATTTTATAACTGGTTTTCGATAAGGTTTTTTATCGATAAAAATGATCGGCATGAGTTATCGATTTTTAATGATAAATTTGATATCCGCGCTGTAATTACGGACATTTAAAAAAAAAATTAAAGTCTCTAGCTCTTATATTTTCTGAAATCGACGCGTTCATACATACGGCCGGACGGACGGACGGACAGACAGACGGACAGGGCCAAATCGACTCAGCTCGTCGCCCTGATCATGAATATATATACTTTGTGGGGTCTGCCACGCCTCCTTCTGCCTGTTACATACTTTTAACAAAACCATTATACCCTGATTTCCCATTTTCAATGGGTTCAGGGTATAAAAATAGACATTTTGTCTAAAGGTTTTTTTTTAGAACTTTCTATATATCAAAGTTCATAGTTCAACTTTGATGTATGAACTTCATTACAGCTAACAAATTTAAAAGTTTCCAACGCTACACAGGGTATCTGCTGGCTGGTCAATTAATTTAGGCACACTTTACTTGTTTACTTGTCCGTTAATTGCTGTAAGCTAATTAGATTGTCAAGAATGAAAATTTGACGCTACGCTGGCTAGTGGAGGAGCTGCCGAATCTCAGCTGGTAGCACATTTTGCAAATGTCCTTTTTAGCCATTGTTTGAGGATATTTTTGTGCGCGCTTTGCCAACCAGAAGTAATACAGATTTTTGCTCAGCCAATTTGACGGGGACTTGACTAAAAACACGACCAACTGGAGAGTACGTGGCTAAGGTCTATCATGGAATGTTACTGGCTGGGCGTGAGCGTGGGCGTGGCTGGCAGAAAACCCACTTAAAGCAGCCACCGAATGCGACTAAAATGCGTGCAAATGCGCTGGCCCCGTCGATGCATACAATTCAAATTACAAGCATAATGAAATACTTTATTTCACATACAATTTCAGTTTTAATTTAAATACCCTGTATATGGGCGCAGTGCAGCCAATTGGGATATTAGCTGCAGACATAGCCAAAGTGACGTCGATAGACTTATTATGTGTTTTTATTGAGGTGCAAAATATTTACAATTTTTTCAAAATCGGTATCAGCTTGCGATCCAGTTGTTGACTCCTTCATCAACTTCCTTTCCTATATTCAATGAAAATTTATTGAGTTTTTTGCACTTTGGGATTCAGGACCCTTTGAAATATATTGGAGATATAGACAATGCTTTATAGTTGTGTTCAGCTTGCGGAAAAATCTATTCTGCTCCTCTTCTCTGTTTCTCTCTTACCCTTTCACTCATATACTGAACCGTCTTCGTAGACTATATAGACGAGAAAAATATCTTCTGCGTGTCTAATTCGTTTATTGATATCTCATCCACACACATTCTCTATCTGGGTGTTCTTGCTGCATAAGTCTTATAGCTCAGTATACCTAAGAAAAAATGTTCTCGAATTCTCACTTTTTCCCTCTCTCTGCCCATTCTCTCTTTTTCACTCCCTCATTCCTCACTCTCTCCCTCACTCCTTCCTCTCTCTCTCTCTCTCTCTCTGTCTCTCTCTCTCTCTTTATCCTTGTCTGTAGTCATATATATATTATTTTACAGGGTATCTAAATACTATTACGCTCTATAAACATATTCCTGCTGTTGTTATTGCTGCCGCAATTTCGACTTCGTATGGCAAAATGGCAGTTTACGCTTCTTTGGCATTTTGTGGCAATGCAAACACGCCCCCAGAGGTGCGCCCCAGCAGCAGCATGCAGCTAACCACTACCCATTACCCATTACTCATTGCGCATTGCCCATTACATTAGCCAGTTGCAGCTTCACCTGCCCAGGCATCGAGTGGCATACTCGAGCATGTCTTTACATCTTTTTACGCTTGGCTATAGCTCAAAGTGCTTAACTGGCTAAAGAGATGGGGCGGGTGGGGGAGTAGAAGCGGGAGGCAGGTGGGAGTGAGGCCTGTGAGGGGCAGACAGCATAAGTTGGCTACAAAATGGCAGCAACCCCCAAGACCCCTACCCCCCTGAATTATATGGCATGGAATTGTGCAGTGAGTATATATATAAATATGTATATATATATATCTATATGACTGTATGTGGTATATAGGTTGATGATAAATGCTGAAAATTCAATTATGCTGGATGTATGTTGAGGCGATAAGGGCTCGTTTCTAAAGAAGGTCTGACATGGTCAGATAGCTGGATGAACGGGGGAGCCCACATTGTATGCATGATCTCGAGTATCTTTGTTTGTATTTTTAAACATTTATCTGGCTGGCAACAATAACAACAACAACAACAACAACAAAAGCAATAAGAAGAAGAACGACAACAATTGAACTTGGTTCTGTTTGCTCAGCATAACAGCAATTGATCAAATGCTTTAGACTAGAGCTGGCTGTGACTCGTGCTTTCTTTGCGTGACACGAGTCAAAACTGTTTTCGAAATAATATAGATGAGTTTCTTTATATATAAAAAAATATTGTTGTCAAGACATAACTAAGGGACTGAACATATATGTATATATTATTTTCTAAATTTAGGTCATTTGTAATGAAATAATCTTTATGATACAAATACTTTCAGGTTATGCGTGCTGGGGAAAATGGTCAAATTCTGCTGCATTTAACATGACAATGCAGGCGAGGATGCAACGCGGAACTGGGAGGAACCTAGTATAAACCAGAGAACAACCTGGGAGGAACTTGGGAGGAACCTGTAAGGAACCTGGGAGCAACTTGGAAGGATCCTGGGAGGAATTAGGGAGGAACCTGGGAGAAGCTGTAAATGAAATCAAAGTAAAGAGTCCCGTAGGGCCCAATAAAGCTGCCAGAAACGATAAAAATCTCGATATATGTATGTATAAAAATCTAGATATATGCGTTGATGTTAGTCTAAAGCAGCAGTAAGCCCTACAAAAATATCTGGTAATCTAAAATTTTCTCTAGAATTGTACAACACGCGCTCATCGCTAGTTTGGCGTCGCCCTTTGTGTTCTTCACTGAGTTGATCTTGCCTTGGAATCTGTATCTGTTCGCTGTGGCCGTGGATTGTCTGAAAATCGATCTGCAGACATGGCAAGCGCCAAAATACGCAAAAGTCACGTAGTCAGCAAATGGCCACAGACAAGAAAGAGGGCTCCCATAAACCATCTGGGCTGGCAATATAGACAACGCTAATGAGTCCGCGCGATTTATGCAAATATCGGTACAACTGATCGCGCTCGAACTGAGCTGAACCCGTAACAGGAAAAAAAAAAAAAAAAAAAAAAAAACTAATAATAAAAATAATAAATAAAGAACAATAGTAATAACAAGTAGAAACATAGTAGTCGTAGCTGCTGGGTGTTCACTGTACCTGGATGTAGTCCGGTGAGCAATTAAAGTGTCACAAGTTCGGGACATGCAATATTTCATGACGCAATGCCCAAGATTATGAATATAAATGCAAATTAGGCACAGCTCGAGTGGGCGCTTGAGCCGGCACTCGCCTGTCTCTTCTGGTGCGGGAGAGAGGGGGAGAGAGTGAGCGTGGGGGTGGGGTGGGCGTGGATGTAGGGAGCGTGACAATCATTAAAAGTCAAGTGAACGTAGTGGCTCCTTCGTCGCTTGAACAATCACTGAAAATGAAAATGACTAACGGTAACCACGATAGTCGACATCCGGGGCAAACGGTTCCATTCGGTGGCAAGCAGGTGCCCCCACGGTGGCTAACGGTGGTGGCACTCACAGTGGCATTGGCTGCCGCTGAAAGAAAATTACGCTCTTATCTTGCTTCCTGTCGTGACACAATTTTCTATCATAGCCAACTGAAGGACTTGTTGTAGTTGTTGCTGCTTTGTTGGAGTCGCCGGATCCGTGTGTTGTGGCCAAAGACATAAAGTTATTATTGCTTTTGCTGCTGGCCAAGAGTGCACGGATTCCGGCCAGCCATGATAAATGTGTCCAGCGCACGTTTTGGCCAACGTCATAATTTAGTCAACATTACATCATATATATATATATGTATATTATATTGGCCTAGAAAACTTGGCTAAGACCCTGGAAATCTTGCATAATTAGATAGACCAACCGCATGCAAGCTCAAAACCGATTTTTATATAGATTAGCGGGACACAAACGTATAATTCTATGAATATCATAAATACTAATTCGTTATTAAGTGTTTGCCACTGCGAAACAACAATTTCTGTTGGTTGTTGTTGCTGCTGTTACTACTGCCGTTGTAGTAGTAGTTGCTGTTGTTGTTGTTGTTGTAATGAGCAAGCCAGAATATCGAAGTGAAAATCTACCGTACGTGACAAATTGAAAAAAGCGCAT